GTAAACTAAAAATGCATTATTAGAATGGGGATTTGTTAACACTACCGCAGTTATTAGTTTGTTCTTTAACAGAGAGAATCCCAAGTGATGTATCTTCTAGATATGTGGATGATCTTGGTGACAGGAATAGATCATCTTATTTCACTTATAGCTGATCTAACAGCAAGTTTGCTCTAAAAACTTGGGAGAAGTTCATATTTTCTTGGTTTTGAGGTTAAAAGAAATTCTTCTGGTTTACTGCTTACACACCAAGTATGCCTAGGAGCTTTTGTGTAAAGCTGGTATGAAGGATTCTAAACCATGTTCTCTCCCATGGCCACTGGTTAAAACTTGGAAAAGAAGACGTGAGCAATTTAATCAGCCTTCTCTTTACAGGAGTATCATTGGGGGATTGCAATATTTGACTTTGTCTAGATGATTTGGCTTTCTCAGTGAATAACTAAGTCAATTCTTGCAGAATCCTACTACAACTCACTGGACAGCCTGCAAAAGAGTGTTGAGTATGTAAAGGTCTTTATCCCATGGATTCTCTTCACAAAAGAACCATTTACTTAGAAGCCTTTGCTGATGCTGACTGGGCAGGAGACACAATTGACAGAAAATCCACTAGTGGTTGTAGTGTTTTTCTTGGTGGTAATCTAATCCAATGGGCTTAAGGAAACAAAAGGTTGTTTCTTTGTCATCACAGAGGCAGAGTATAGGTCTCTTACCAAGCTGCAACTGAAGTAGTTTGTCCAGATTTGTTTAAAGAACTTGATATTCACATTAAAACACTCTGTTATCTGGTGTGATAAATGAGTGCTGGTGCTTTGTCCTCAAACCCTTTTTCCATGCAAGGACAAACCATTGAGATTGATGTCCATTATGTGAGGGAACTTGTTGCAAATAAAACATTAATATGTCCAATACATAGCTACTAATATCAGTAGCTGACATTCTTACTAAAGCTCTTCCTGCTCAAGGTTTGTTTTATTAGAGAAAAACTGTGTGTTTAGAGAACTTCCTGAATCACACTGTCTGATTGATCAAGTTAATGTGCAGACTGCAGTAGTTGCAAGAGCTGTGTGTGTAGACTGGCAAATACATGACTGAAGCAGTAGTTGTTCTGTTTTCTGTAATCTGTAAAGATAGAATTGAGATGATTGTAACAGGAGTTTAAGTAATTCTGAATGGAAGTAAAATGTGCAGACTGCATAGTTTCAAGTAAAGTGTGTAGCATGGCAGACTACACACTGCAGCAGTAGTGTTTTTTTTTTTTTTTTATGATCTGTGCTGTTAGTAAAGTGTCATGTTGATCTGTTCTGTTAGTAAATGTGCAGGCTGGCAGACTAACACTGCAGCAATGTTGATCTGTTTTTGTTTATCATTGTAATCTGTTAAGAGTAAAATTGAGATGGATGTAAGCAGGAGATGAAGTAGTTCTGAGAAAGTGGTGCAGTTTAGCTGCGATCTGTTCTGTTAGTAAAATGTGCAGGCTGGCAGACTACACAACTGCAGCATTATTTTGACTGTTTTTTTTTTTTTTTTTTTTTTTTTTTTGTTTATCATTGTAATCTGTTAAGAGTAAAATTGAGATGGATGTAGCAGGAGATGAAGTATTTCTGAATGGAAGTGGTGCAGTTTAGTTCTGATGGAATTGAATGGAATTGGTGCAGCTTGCAGGGAATGTGCACACAAGTGGTGTACAAGTGGTCCAGCTTAAGGGGAATTTTAGACAAAGGGTGTAATTGTAACGTGGTTGCTTAAGGGGAAATGTTAGGAAGAGTGTATTTGTAAGTTTTTAGAACTGAACTGGTTAGTTTGTAATATTAGAAATATACTATACGTGCGTTTTGAGCACTCTAACACAAAGTGGTCTCTCCTGTAACAAACTTTTCACTTAATAAAATTCCCAGTTTTTTTGTGTTTATGTCTGATACTTTCCTCTCTACTGTTCCTTAGTTTGCTTCTTTAATTCAAGAAAAATCTTCATCGTGAAGATTTTCACTCTCCTGAAAGCTATTAAACTCAAAAGGGTGCTTACTTGTTCTCGCTTGGATTTCTCACTCAATCAGAAATCTTCTTCTGTTTCAACTGTTGCAAACAAGCTGCGGCCGGTGCGACGGAGAATGAGGAAGGGTCCAATCGAAGGGGAAGATGATGTATTGCAATGGAGAGAACCGGAGATGGTATTGGTTGGAAGTGTTGAAGGTGGAGAGAGAAGAGGCGTTAGACTTTAAGGCTAAAGATTGACTTACGAATTTACGCGTTAAGACTTCAAAAGGGTGCGGCATGTAATATCCTCTTAGAAAGGTGGTGACATGTAATATAAAGGGGGTGAACAGTAATATCCCCTTAAAAAGTCGTGACATGTAATAAAAAGGTGGTGGCGGGTAACATCCCCTTAAAAAGGGTGTTCATGTATATCCTCTTAAAAAAATGAACTCATATCGTTTTATACCTATAACAAATTCTGATTTCAGACTAGTGTTTAAAATCAAAGGTATTTTATTTCTATGTCATTTCTAACCACTAGTTAAACAGTTATTATCTTTATAGAATATAAAACAAACAAAATCAATAGGATGGATTAATAAAAGAATTGTGATTATGATTTTAATATATTAATAAGAATTAATTATTATTTTCAGAAATATTATTGGGAAAAAAAAAAGCTTAAAATGTTAATGGTAGTCAATTCTTTTGATAAAATTTGTGTGGCACTTTTTTTTGGGCTAAATTCTTCATTTTGAAGAGTGGCACATAATTGATAGAATCCAATTTTAAGAGGAATTGATAGCTAATTATAATCTATTTCTTTTGTTTAAATAATTAAAGTAACCAACATTCTATTTTGATTTTTAATAATAATTATAAAATAAGAATCATTTTTTTTTATATAAATGAATAATTAAATAACCATTCTTTTTTTATTTTATTTATTAATAATTAAAAGATTTGTTAATATTATTTCTTATCAATAAATATTTAAATAACCTTCCTGTTTTATTTGCATTTTAATCATAAATACCTGAAACAACAATTTTTTTTTTTTTCATTTTGATCTTATAAAAATAGTAAATAATAAATCATTTTTATCTTTTAAGTTCTATAAAAATATAATGAAACATTAACCTTCTTTATTATATTTTTATAAATAAATAATTAAAACAATAATTCATTCCTTATTTTCAGTTTATATTATAAGATAATTATTTAATTCCTCTTTTTCTATTTTATAAATAAAATCAACTGCCTCCAACAATAATATATTCTAATTGAAAGGTACGTGTTATTATCCTCATTATTGGAGATGGTAAGAGAAAAAATTTTATAATATCTTGACACTTGATTATTCTGTTGTAAAATATCATTTCAATTCAATAAGTGATCAAATGATTTTTTTTTTCTTTTTATATCTTTGATATTTTCATGAGTTTTTTTTTTTTAATTAAAAAAAAAGTTATCTTAACATTATTGTCAAATTCATGGAGTTACACATATATTTTTGAACTCAATGAAAATTATTTAGTGATTAATATTATAAAGTTATTATCAATAAGATTTAGCTAAAATGGAAGTTAATAGTTAGTCTTGTGATTTGTTCTCATACACCGGTAGCATTCCAGGAAACTTCTACTGAAATATGAGGTGCGTAATGGCGTTCAATAAAACCCTTCAAAAAGGGGTGGAATGTAATATGGTGACAAGTATGGCGTTCATGGACCCATGGCATCTTTATAAAATAGGTTCAGAACAAGAGGTACGTGTTCTTACCTTCATTATTTGAGATGGGTAAGAGACAAAAATTTATAACTATCTTGACACTTGATTATTCTCTTAAAAATCATTTCAACTAAATAAGAGAATCAAATTATTATTTTGCTTCTTTATATTCTTTGATATTTCCATGAGTTTGATATTTCATGTTTTGCCTTTTGTTTTATTATTTTCATTAGTTAATAGTTTAATTGTTTTGGAATGATGATATGGTGATGATTTTTTCGTGTGCCATTAATAAATTCGAGAAGTGCGAATCAGAGACCCACTAACACTATTTTGTAAGGAAGATGATTTATGTATGTTTTTAAATTTATAATTTTATGTTTATTTGGTTAACATTACCAAGTTAGGAGATGTTTGTCTAAGTTTATAAGCTGGTCAAACTAGTTTATAAGCTCTAAAATTAAGTTGACCTGTTTATTTATAACTTTTTTGAGTTTATAAGTTAAACTTATAAGCCAAAAAAATAAGTTGAGGGGTATTTTTTTCTTTTGGCTTATAAGCAGAGTTAACCAATGTATATTACCATATTACCTTGTTTAATTTTAAAATTTCATAGTATACCCTTATTTAATATAGTACCATTTTAATCATTTTATAAGCCACATTTTATCAAACACGTCAACAACTTATCAGTCACCTATAGTACTTTAACCAAATACTTATTTCTTAAAATTTCAAATGTTATAAGTACTTGCTAATTTTCATAAGCTCAACAAACATTCCTTTAAATTGATGCTGTTGTTTTTATAGGCATAAATACTACTAGCTGCATTTATAGAATAGAGCATGATAGAGCTTTAAGTTCTGGGAAAATTTGGACTACTACTCAACAAGAGGTAGATAGATCTGTTTCAGATCAATCCTGAAACAGCAGAGAAATATGAACAGCTAAATGGCTAGCTATTATATGTAAGAAGTAGGAGACAAACCTCCTCATGACTAGTAATTACTAATTACCATGAATAAAAACTTAAAACCATAAGTTAGGCTGCCCGATTCATGGTTATCCCAACTTTTGAGCTTATAATAAATCATCAAGCATCAACCGCGAAGGAAGAGACGCACTACGCTTACCAGACAGATATTATTTGGTAGGTCAGAAAAAATGAACTCATTCAAGTAATCAACTAATGTAACAAAAGAAAAAAAAAAAAAAACTGTAACAATGGCAGTGAGACCAGTCCCATCAATTCCTTCTATAACTTCCTCAGCTGCTGAAAAAGATGAGAACCCAGATGGCCCTTTTCTACACAAAGAACCCCATCTCTTCTCTTTTCACAAAATTCAAACTCCCTCACCCACTTAAAGTTACAGGCGAGAAACATATGTTGAAACCAGGAGTACTAAATAGTCAGTCCCCTGAAATGATCTTTCAACAAGGACAAAATGTCTCAGCCAATGTACCTTCACAAGCTGTCTTTGGGGCTTTTGATCTTGGTAATGCTGGATATTCAGGAAGTGGTACTAACAAGTTGTCTTATCCAAATGGTTCTCAGTTTATGCCTACTGGTTTTAATCAATTTAATAACAATATGATGAGAGGGAGAGGGAGAGGCCGAGGCTACTTCAAGCCTAAATTGATCTGTCAGGTTTGTGGCAAGATAGGCCACTCTGCCCTACAATGCTACTATAGATTTGATCAAGATTTTCAGGGTTTCAACTACAATCACTCAGTTCAGGCCTCTACTTATAATCCTTCTATATCCTCTCAGACTAACCTTGCTGGTGTTCCTGATGGCTCTGTTCAAGCATTGTTTGCTAGTCAGTTTGTTCCTAACACTGGCTTGCATCCAAATAATGGCTTCCATAACTCAGTTCTGGGCTTACATGATTACTCAGCTACCGTAGGATCACAGATGCCTCAATATCCTACTGCAAACTTTCAAACTCTTGATCATAGACAGAGAATGAGTCCACAACCTCAATCTACCACTGTAGGAGTAGTTGGAGCTAATCCTACCAAGGCTGAAACTGGAATACTGTCATCCTCAGGCACTTCCTACCAAGCTGTAGCTACTCCACAAACTGTACATGATCAGTCTTGGTATATGGATTATGGAGCATCTAACCACATGACAGTAGATGCTTCCAATCTGATGCACAAGTCTAGTTATCCAGGGAAATCTAAAGTTCAAGTTGGCAATGGGGATGCTATTCCTATCACTCACACAGGTATGTTACTTGTTCCTTCACATGCCTCACATAGAATACTTCAACTTAAGAATATTTTATGTGTTCCAAAAATTGCAAAGAATCTAGTTAGTATTTCTCAAATTACCAAGGATAATAATGTCATAGTTGAATTTCATTCTGATCATTGCTTGGTAAAGGATAAGAGCAGCAAAGCTGTCTTGTTGCAAGGCTCAGTGAAAGGTGGCCTGTATCAACTGGAATTATCAAGCAATGTCTCTCCTTATGCATCATCCATTCCTTCTGCTTCACATCATGTAACTGGGAATGTGGTTCATGAAGCTAATGTTTCTACTTCAGATAGTATTACTAATGTTGTTCATGGGAATTCTGATGTTAAGACTAATAATGTACCTTTAGATTCTGCATTGTTGTGGCATGCCCGATTAGGACATCCAAATGTTAAAACTCTTCAGTATGTTTTGAATAAGTTGCATGTAAAACAATCAACTGCTAGTAATAAAAGTTCCTTTTGTGAGGCTTGTCAATTTGGAAAATTGAAGCAATGTAGTTTTCCTATTTCATCCTCAAGAGCTAGTTGTCTATTAGAATTGGTGTATTCTGATCTGTGGGGACCAACCCCTGTTATGTCTAGAGAAGGGTATAGATACTATGTGATTTTTGTTGATGATTTTAGTAGATACACATGGATATATCCTTTGAAACTCAAGTCTGAAGCATATACTGTTTTTGTGCAATTTCATAAGTTTGTGGAAAGTTTAGGTCCTTTTCAAGTTATCTTCAGGAAAATGGAATCATGTTTAGACATCCTTGTCCTTACCTTCACCAACAAAATGGAAGAGTAGAGCGAAAACATAGGTCCATCACAGAATATGGGTTGTCACTCTTGGCTCATGCCACTATGCCTTTAAAATTTTGGTGGTCAGCTTTTAGCACAACAACCTTTCTCCTGAATAGGTTACCTTCAGCACCTCTTGAGTTTGAGTCACCATATTACACTTTGTTTCATAAAGAGCCTAAGTATACTAATTTTAAAGTATTTGGATGTAGTTGCTATCCATATCTCAGGCCATATCAAAGACACAAACTGTCATATCATACAGAAAAGTGTGTTTTTCTGGGATACAGTCTTTCCCATAAAGGTTATTTGTGCCTAGCATCTTGTGGTCGATTATATATTGCTCAGCAGGTGAAATTTAATGAAACAGATTTTCCATTCAAGAATGAGAAGAATGAATCTGAAAATTCTACAAATAATAGTGACAATTCTGTTCAGTCTTCTCTTGATAAATCCTGGTGCATTCCTACCTCTGTATTATCTTCAAGAATTGATCCTAGAACAACAATATTATCTTCAAGAATTGATCTTAGCACAGCCTCATTTGAGCTCACATCGAATGATACTCCTGACTTACCATCAGCAAGAGTAGCACACAACCTAAGTCCAACCAATGTAGTCCCACACACTGATATTCAGGCCTCAAATAGATCTACATCTAGCTCCTCTACTCACACTCTATCCAGCTTTCCTGATGAGTTCACTAATCAAGAATGTGACCATCCTATCACCTCTACTGATCCTGATAGTCACCAGGAAGCTTTACTACCTTGTACAGCCCAACAATCCACAAATACTCACCCTATGATTACTAGAGCTAAGGCTGGTTACTCTGCAAAAGCTAAAGCTGATCTGATTTTACTTATCAGGCTTTATTGACCACGAATCCCATTCTTAGTGAACCAAAACTGTAACTGAAGCTCTACTTATGCCTGAATGGAAGCAGGCTAGGGAGAGTGAATACCAAGCCTCTTTGAAGAATCAGACTTGGGAATTAGTACCTTATGAAGAAGGTATGCTATAGTTGGAAGTAAATGGGTTTTCAGACCAAGTTAAACTCAGATGGAACTCTGCAAAAATACAAAGTCAGGCTGTAGCCAAAGGCTTTCAACAGACACCTAGACTGGACTACTTTGACACTTTTTCTCCAGTTGTGAAGGCTGCAACAATTCGAATTATGATTTCTTTGGCTGTCCATCAAGGTTGGCAAATTCAACAACTTGATGTAAATAACGCATTCTTGAATGGGGAGCTATTAGAGAAAGTTTTTATGTTGCCCCGTGAAGGTTTCTCTCCTGCCTCTTGTTCTTTTAATTCAAGGCTGGTGTGCAAATTACATAAGGCTCTCTATGGTCTTAAGCAAGCTCCAAGAGCTTGGTTCGATAAACTGAAAAATGCATTATTAGAATAGGGATTTGTTAACACTACCGCAGATATTAGTTTGTTCTTTTACAAGAGAGAATCCCAAGTGATGTATCTTCTAGAATATGTGGATGATATCTTGGTGACAGGAAATGATAGTCATCTTATTTCACAGCTTATAGCTGATCTTAACAGCAAGTTTGCTCTAAAAACTTTGGGAGAAGTTCAATATTTTCTTGGTTTTGAGGTTAAAAGAAATTCTTCTGGTTTACTGCTTACACAAACCAAGTATGCCTAGGAGCTTTTGTGTAAAGCTGGTATGGAGGATTCTAAACCATGTTCTACCCCCATGGCCACTGGTTTAAAACTTGGAAAAGAAGACAGTGAGCAATTTAATCAGCCTTCTCTTTACAGGAGTATCATTGGGGGATTGCAATATTTGACTTTGTCTAGATTTGATTTGGCTTTCTCAGTGAATAAACTAAGTCAATTCTTGCAGAATCCTACTACAACTCACTAGACAGCCTGCAAAAGAGTGTTGAGGTATGTGAAAGGTACTTTATCCCATGGGATTCTCTTCACAAAAAGGAAACCATTTACTATAGAAGCCTTTGCTGATGCTGACTGGGCAGGAGACACAATTGACAGAAAATCCACTAGTGGTTGTAGTGTTTTTCTTGGTGGTAATCTAATCCAATGGGCTTAAAGGAAACAAAAGGTTGTTTCTTTGTCATCAACAGAGGCAGAGTATAGGTCTCTTAGCCAAGCTGCAATTGAAGTAGTTTGGATCCAGAATTTGTTTAAAGAACTTGATATTCACATTAAAAACAACTCTGTTATCTGGTGTGATAACATGAGTGCTGGTGCTTTGTCCTCAAACCCTATTTTCCATGCAAGGACAAAGCACATTGAGATTGATGTCCATTATGTGAGGGAACTTGTTGCAAATAAAACATTAAATGTCCAATACATAGCTACTGAATATCAGATAGCTGACATTCTTACTAAAGCTCTTCCTAGCTCAAGGTTTGCTTTATTAAGACAAAAACTGTGTGTTGCAGCTGAACTTTCTGAATTACTGTCTGATTGATCAAGTTAATTGTGCAGACTACAGTAGTTGCAAGAGTTGTGTGTGTAGACTGGCAAAATACATGACTGAAGCAGTAGTTGTTCTGTTTTCTGTAATCTGTAAAGAGTAGAATTGAGATGATTGTAAGTAGGAGTTTAAGTAATTCTGAATGGAAGTAAAATGTGCAGACTGCAGTAGTTTCAAGTAAAGTGTGCAGGCTGGCAGACTACACAATTGCAGCATTATGTTGATCTGTTTTTTTTTTTTTTTCATTGTAATCTGTTAAGAGTAAAAATTGAGATGGATGTAAGAAAGAGATGAAGTAGTTCTGAATGGAAGTGGTGCAGTTTAGTTCTGAATGGAATTGAATGGAATTGGTGCAGCTTAGTTTTGAATGGAATTGAATGGTATTGGTGCAGTTTGCATTGGAAGTGGTACAGCTTGCAGGGAATGTGCAGCACAGGTGGTGTACAAGTGGTCCAGCTTAAGGGGAAATTTTAGACAAAGGGTGTAATTGTAACGTGGTTTAGCTTAAGGGGAAATGTTAGGAAAAGAGTGTATTTGTAAGTTTTGAGAACTGAACTGAGTTAGTTTGTAATATTAGAAATCTCCTATACGGTGCGTTTTGAGCACTCTAACTACAAAAGTGTTTCTCTCCTGTACCAAACTTCTCACTTAATAAAAATTCCCAGTTTTTTTCGTGTTTATGTCTGATACTTTCCTCTCTACTGTTCCTTAGTTTGTTTCTTTAATTCAAGAAAAATCTTCAACATTAAGGTAAAGGGGTTAATTTTCAAAAACTATCCTTCCGTTTCCACAATCACCCTCACTGCTCCAACTCCGCATCTCCTCGCTGAATCTCGCCACCTCAAAATCCCCCTGAGAAACTACTGAGAAGCCTTGTAGCTGTAGGTGATTGACTAGAGATAAAAATTATGGGTTTCTCTTAAGGAGGAGATGAGGAAGATGAAAGAAATTTGCTAATTTTGCAAAGAAAAAATAATGATTTTATTATTATATAGTTTTGATTTAATTGAATATGGTGAGAGGAAAATTAACCCAAACTGATTGAGTCTATTTCTGTATTTAGCTATCTATAGTTGGGTTTGTTTTTGTTTCTTTCTTAGCTTAAACCTTAACTAAGAGAGAAAATATCCTTTTACGAATTGATAATTACACCTTCTTTAATTTTGTTCTAGATTGTTTTTTATTTTTCATTTTTCCTGTTCTTCAAATTTCTCTCTTTCTTTTGTGATTTTCTTCTCTATAATCTCCATCACTGTGCCTATGCCTCAGAAAGCATTAGTTATTAAACAGAACAACGGTGAATTTATCCAACAGTAGAGAAGTTCTTAACATATTCTTGGTATCAAAAATAAAAAAATCATCACCACCTGTCAGAAGATAGAAGAGTTAGGAATGTATCTACACCATGATTGATGGTTATTATTACTGAAGGAACATTAACTCCCTTTGCTTGGAGATTTTCAGTTGATTATTATTAATGCAATAGTAAAAGTTGTATCGTAGTTTCCTAAGAATGCATTAGACAATCGACAAACCAACTTGAATGGCGGAACGTCATTATGCTTGAATGAGTGCGTCCAGATCTTAAGGATTCTATCCTTATTCTATTGGATAGATTTCAGAAATCAAGTGTAAAAAATCAGTTTCAAAAGTCAAAATATAATTTAAGGCTTAAGGCTAGTTAACTTCAATTAGTATCGTCTAATCTTTGATTGATTATGGTTTCTCTAGACCTGGCAAAACAGGTGGATGGGCCGAGTACGAGTCGGGTCTTTATAGGTACGGACCCAATACGGGTCGAAGTATACGGGTCCAAAATATTGGACCCGTACCCTGCCCTATACGGGTACGGGTGGACCCGCGGGTATCCGTTTTTTCTCTCTCCAGGTTTTAGTTTTTATAGTTTCACCTCTAATAGTTTTCAATTATGATAGTTACACCCCCAAAATTCCTATAGTTTTAATTTTTTATATTTACACCCCCTAAATCAACTACTCTAAATTCAATTCAATTTAGAATATAAACAAATAGGAACTAGAAAGAATCTTCTCTATTTACAAAATTCCAATCTACAGCTGATCTGCAAAAAGATGATATGGCTTTTAAGACCCTTGTTCCTACTAAGGTGCACCCTGTTAGTCGGCCTATTTCAGAAGGGAATTCATCTTTGTTTCGTCCTCCAAATGGGTCAACCTCAGAAGGAAAGCCCCCATTCTTTGCTTCTCCCAAAGCAAAACTGAGTACCCCTGCTAGTGTTGTTCATCAGCAATAGAATCCATTTTCTAGGACTTTCACTGAGCCTGAGAATAAGACCTCAAAGCAAGTTGAATTGAATTTGCCACCTTCAGAAGCCAGAATAATAGTAATCTTATTGCTACAAAATAGTTTTCAAATAAGAAACGGTAGCCTCTAGGCCAAATGAGATGGTGGCAAGGAACATGAATCTGATGCAGCCTTTACCTCCAAAGCAGCTTACTAGAAGGTACAACTACAACCAAAAAGGTTGCTTGTTTCCTTCTGTATAAAAACCAATGTATTGTACATAAATATTTACACAAACTATGAGATGGATGTTGATAATTACATTGTGATCAACTAGGAAATGAGATTAAATGTTTACATTGGAATAGTAAATGTCAAAAGAGAAAACAAGATAAGGCAACTTCCTAATTGGCTTTTTCTATGCACATGTGCACAAAATTCCATCCCCACCACACCCAGATATGCCAAGCTTTTTCTACTGTTTTTCTTGTTCTTGTGGGTAGTGTACCTTATGTCATACACAAATCAAATGAAACGTATATCTGCCACTGGAGCTGATGACGTATGTACACTCAACATAACAACAAAAATCGCCTCTGCAAAATTTTCACTACCTGCTTCAAAGGAGATTTTTCATTTGTTTTTAAACTCTCGCATTACTTCAAATTTTTGCCACCAAAAACAGCTGTTGTTGCATGCTCGAATCTGTGAGAAAAAAACAGCAAATCCCATGTCTATTTGTAGTTGGTCTCTAATTCTCGGCTTTAATTTTTGTCATGAAATCTGAAAAATAGCAATAAATCATACTATCTTAGCAAGTTCTTTGAGGAAATTATTTCATGATTTTACCAAAACAGGCATAATAAAATATCATGAGTTGAGAAAAAAATTGCTATCAGATAATCATTACTGCCTAAAGAAGAAATACACCAAAGAATCATAAATACATTAGATTTAAAGATATATAGGACCATGTAAAGCTATAATTTCCAAGAAAAGACAAATATTCCAAAAGAAATTGGCATCAAAAGTGAACTCAATTGTCTTATAACAATGGTGGCATCTCTCATAAGAATACTCATTTTGCTCCAAGACCAAGCTATAGAAGACAAGAACAAGTATTCTTATAATTTTGTAACAAATTATTTTATCACCAAAGTCATATAGAGACATGAAACTAATAAAGCAATAAGACAAAATGACAAATAGGTAGAAGGCCTTTATCAAAGATCACAAAAACAAAAATCCACACAGATGAACCATATCGATTTTTAAACATGGATCTCATGGGATCTTTCCTCCTTAGATGAACTATATCTATTCTTAAACCATGGATCACTAGCATGGTCATAAAAAGAGGGATTATTTTGTTTCACAGGGGGTAATATGTCCTTCAACATCGGCATGTTCAATAGATGTACACAAATAGCTAATCAAGCACAGATAAAACTCTGGTATTCCAAACCTGCAAATGCAGCCCAACACAAACACACTCAACGAAAACAACTCTACACAGATCGACGTACAGGGAAAGCTCAACCAAACAACAATATAAGTGTAAACAATTTTAATCTCACAAAAAAAATTAAAATACAAAATCAATAAATAGAACAATTCTTCAACTTTTAGCATCCAATTCTTCAATAAATACAAAATCAAACGAGAGAAAAAATATGCAGTAACCTACATTAACCGTTCAAACAAAAAAGAAAACACAAAATGTGTCAAAAAAACAAAAACAAACACACAAAATTTGAAAGAAAAAACGGAAAAACCAAGGCAAAATACAGGAAGTGTGTAGAAACACATTCTCCGTCATAGATCTACGAGCTGAAACACATTCAAGAGAAAATGAGCTTACTAAGGTAATAGGAGCTCCAAGAACCGGAGTTTAGGAGATGACGAGTCGATGCCCCAGTCCTGACGACGTGAGAGAGAGGAGATGACCAGCCGACGAGGATGAGCGAGGGCGACCGACGACTGTGGTACTGGGAATGGGAATGATGGACTGGATGAATGAATCAGGTGAGGTATTGCCGTATTGATGACTGATGAGTGACGATTAATCAAAGAGGGAGTTGAGGTACGAAGAAGATGGCAAAGAGGGAGGTACTCAGTTGACTGATGAGAGATTGAGAGGATGAATTGTTATGTTGAAGATTGAGAGAGATGAGAGGCGGCATAGAGAGTTACTGAGTTAGACTTAGGGGGGTTAGGGTTAGGGATTTGCAAAAATGGGTACTCGCGGGTGCCCACGGGTTCACCCATATAACCCGTCAGTTATATGGGTCGGGTTGGGTATGGGTCCAAAAAAATGGGTTTAATATATTGGACCCATACCCTATATTTTTTACCCGGGTACGGGCCGACCTGCGGGTCTGGACCCGTTTTTCCAAGTCTAGGTTTCTCAAAGCATTTGATTTGAAGTTCTTTTTGTTGTTGCTTATACTGGAGAATACAAAAAAAAAAAAAAAAGAGTAACTGATGAAAAATGAAGAGAGTAAACTGACTGCATTACCAACTGAGTTTACATCATAACTAATAAAGCAAAAGTTCACTGTTGACAATAACTTTGCAGACATATTTTATCCAACATTAATCTAAAGCCATACATTAATACAAACTTACAACAAATATTATAAACACATCCCATATAGCCTGGCAGTACAAATCTGAAGCATTACAAAATGAATCAAACTAGGATGCCTCACAAAACTGACAGACGACATATTGCAATACCTTTTGGCGCCAGAAGATATTCAAAAAAAAGTTGACAAACTGCGACATTTCCAGCTAATTATCAGAATTTAACACTCCTCCTTGATAGTTGGCTAGAAACACCAAATCTGAATCTGAATTCTTCAAACTTGGCTTTGGAGACAACTTTTGTCATAATGTCAGCCTTGTAATTCACCCCTGCAGTGCATCAGTTCCACTTCACCATTTTGTTCAGCCTCTCTCATTGCATGAAACTTTATTTTGATATGCTTTGTACGTCCATGATGCACCGGATTTTTGGCCATTGCTACAGCAGATTGGTTGTCACACATGATGGCAATAGGGTTGACCTACTTCAGCTTCAAGTCTTTAAGAATCTTTCTCAGCCAAATGGCTTGACTCACAACAACAGCATCAGATATATATTGTGCTTCTGCTGTGGATTGAGCCATGGTTTCTTGCTTCTTGGAAAGCCAACAAATAGCACCACAATTCAAGAAAAATGCATATCCTGAAGTGCTCCTCATATCATCTATTGAACCAGCCTAGTCACTGTCAGAAAAACCAACCAACTTGAAGTCTTCTGATCTCCTGAACACACTGCAAAGTCAGTGTTGCCCTTCACATATCTCAGCACCCTTTTTGCAGTCTTGAAATGTGTCTCGATTGGTTGACTCATAAATCTGGACATCAAACTAGTGGCATACATTATGTCTGGTCTGGTTGCTATCAAGTATAGCAGGCAACCAATCAAGCTCCTGTATAATCCTTCATCAACCTTCTCAGCTTCATCACTCTTTGACAACTTCAGATTTGGAACCAATGGCAGGTCCACTTGTTTACAATTCTCCATGCAGAACTTCTTAAGGACTTCACTTGCATACTTCCTTTGATTCACAAAAATACCATCTGCATCTTGATCAATCTCCATCCTAAGAAAGTATGACATTTCACCCAAGTCTGTCATTTCAAACTCACTGTGCGTGGATTTTTTGAATTCCTCCGCTTGAGCATGATTGCTTCCAATCACTAGAAGATCATCCACATATAGAGAAATGATCATTACATCATCTTTGGCTTCTCTAATATAGAGTGTGCTCATTTGGACTCCTCACAAAGTCTAAACTGAGCAGGTGTTCATTAATCCTGCTATACCAGGTCCTTGGTGCATATTTTAGGCCATATAAGGCCTTCTTCAGCAAGTAGACTTTTCCCTATTCTCCTTGAATCTGATACCCTTCAAGTTGTTCAATAAAAATTTTCTCATTCAACCAACCATTCAAGAAGGCAGATTTAACATCCAATTGATGAAACTTCCAAGAAAATTGAGCTGCCACGACAAGCAGCAGTCTGATGGTGTCATGCCGGGCAACTGGTGCAAATGTCTCCAGGCAAATGTCTCCAGGAAATCCATTCCATATTGCTGAGCAAATCCTTTAACATCAAGCCTGGCCTCATGCTTCAAAATTGAACCATCCAGATTTAACTTTTTTTTGAAAATCCATTTTACTTCGATCACCTTCCTGTTTTCTAGTCTGTCCACAAGCTTCCAGGTCTGATTTTTTTCAATCATGGCTAGCTCCTCCTTCATGGCAATCCTCCAGGGTTCTGACTTCACTGCTTTTGAGTAGCTTGAAGGTTCTATTTATGCCAAATTGCATCTGTCATACACATAAGCTAGAAACCTTATTCCTCCGACAACAACCTCTTCATCTGATTCATCTCCTGAATTTTCTTCAACCTGATCAGTTGGAGCTTCACAATTGAGGTTTTGCTTCTACATCAGCCTTACATTTCTCCCAATTCCAGACTCCACTCTCATCAACTGTAACATCCCTGGACACAAGTATTTTCTTTGAGTCAGGAATATATATTCTATAAGCTTTAGATTGGCTGCTATAGCCAATAAAAATTCCTATCAAAGCCTTGTCCTCCAGCTTTGTTCTCTTGGCAGGTGGTACCAAAACATAACATATACTTTCGAAAATTTTCAGATTGTCCACTGCTAGCTTGACTCTAGTCCAGACTTCAAATGGTGTTTGACTGATCAATGCTCTAGTAGGTAGTCTATTGAGCAAGTACACCCTTGTATTGATAGCCTCTGCCTAGAAGAATTTCGAAAGTCTTTTCTCAGCCATCAAACATCTGGCCATCTCCATAACAGTCCTGTTTCTCCTCTCACTAACTCCATTATGCTGTGGAGTATAAGGGCTACTGAATTGATGTCTGATTCTAGCCTCCTTGCAAATTACTTCAAACTCTTGAGAAGTGTATTCAGTACCATTGTCACTTCTCAAGGTTTTGATGGTCTTTCATGTTTGGTTTTCCACTAGCTATTTGAACTTCTTGAATACTCCAGCCACCTCATTTTTCTGCCTTAGAAAGTAAACCTAGCACATCTTGGACCAATCATCTATAAACAATTCAAAGTATCTACTTCCATTTAGTGATGAGGTTTGCATGGGGCCACACACATCCGAGTGAACAAGCTGAAGTTTTTTAAAGGCTCTCCATGCTTGATTCACTGGAAAAGGTTTTCTACTCATCTTGCCTAATTGACATGCTTGGCAGACTCCTTTTGGTTCTTCAACAATGGGCAGATTCTGAACTAAGTTTTTTGACTGAATCTCACTTAAACTTCTATAATGTACATGGCCTAATCTCTTATGCCATATCTCAGTTTCATCTTCTCTAGAATTACATGCTTTGTGTGGAGTGATTCTTCTCATGATTGGAAAGCTCTTCCCCACCATTCTTACTCTCATAATTTCACTTCCCTCACTGTCCAAGATTATGCAAGATTGGTTTTGAAAATGCAATGCATAATCCTTTTCCAACATTTGTCCTACACTAAGGAGACTTTGACTTATATCAGGTGCATAAAGTACATTTGAGATTAATTTCATACCTCTTGGTGTCTGGATTGCAACATCACCTTTCCCTCTTGCTTCCACAAATTCTCCATTTTCCACTTTGATCCTTGACCGATGAGAGTGATCTAGGTTCACAAAACTCTGCAAATCAGGTGTCATGTGATGTGTACATCCACTGTTAATCAACCAGGTATCATCACAAGCTTGGATCAAACTGGATGAGGCCACAAATAACTGCTCTATCTCCTACCCCGGGTGCTGTTCATCAGCTATCTGAGCTTGCTGTTGGGGCTACTCTCCCTTGCTTTTGTAGACTCTTTTGATGTGGCCAAATTGTTTGTAAGCCCTATATTGTATTCCAGGCCTAAACCAACATTTATGCTCTGCATGCCCCTTCTTTTTACAGTGGGAACAATCTGGAAAATTCTTCATTCCACCAGCTTTGTTCCACTGACTATTGGACCTTTCTTTTCCTTTCTTTTCTCCAGCAAACCTTTTGTTATTTCCTTGTGCAGACTTGCCCTTGTGAGCTGCTAACATTGCCCCTTCATTCGCATCCTCTAAGGTTAGGAGCCTTCTCTGCTCTTGTGCTTGCAGAGCATGGACCAGCTCAGTCAAAGTGATATGAGTCAGGTCTTTTGAGTCCTCCAAAGATGAGATCTTTGCTTCAAACCTTTCCGGTAAGCTTACTATCACCTTCTCCACTACTCTTCTATCTGACATCTCCACTCCAAGCAACCTGATTTTGTTGACTATATTCATCAACCTATCAACATATTCCTTCACTTGCTCAGCCTCCTGCATTCTCAATGTCTCAAATTCCCTTCTCAAGTTCAACACCTGCATGTTTTTTGTAGTGTCACTCCCCATGAACTCCTCCCTTAACTTGTCCCAAGATTCTTTTGCTGCTTCGCATGCCATGATCCTTGTAAAAACAAGGTCTGTGACAGCTGAGTGAATGTGGGACAAGGCTCTTAGAGCTTTTGAAACTTCTTCTTCATGCATCCGGATTTGGTTGAGTGTGGGATTTGGTCCCAACTGAGAGGGTTGTTTCTCTTATTCTACATACTGCTAGAGTCATTGACCCCTCAGGTATGCCTTCATTTTGACAGCCCATATATGGTAGTGCTCACCATTAAATACAGAAGGTAGAAGAGAAGCTGTCTGAGTGGCCATTGATTTAAGAAAAACAGGTCTGATGCAGGGTAGTTTTTTTGGAGAGACAGATGAGGTGATCAAGGGAAAGAAAAGGTTCAGATATTTTTTAGCTCAAGTAACCGTGCTCTGATACCATTTTGTTGTTGATTACATCGGAGAATACAAAGAAAAGAAAGAAAGCAACTGATGAAAAATGAAGAGAGTAAACTAACTGCATTACCAACTGAGTTTACATCATAACTAATAAAGCAAAAGTTCACTGTTGACAACAACTTTGTAGACATATTTTATCCAACATTAATCTAAAGACATACATTAATACCAACTTACAACAAACATTATAAACACATCCCATATAACCTGGCAGTACAAATCTAAAGCATTACAAAATGAATCAAACTAGGATGCCTCACAAAACTAACGGACGGTAGATTGCAATACCCTTTGGTGCCAGAACATATTCAAAAACAAGTTGACAAACTGCTACATTTGCAGCTAATTATCAGAATTTAACAGTTCTCCTTGCAGTTGCAACAACTAGAATATGAGCACTATGTTTCACCGAATAATTATAATGAGACAACATCAACAAGCTAAAGTACTCCACTTCTATTAATTAGCTGATTCTTTTGATCCCCATCCTAGTTTCATTCATGGATATGGATTAATCAGAAGAAGCATGTATGTAAAACGTAAGTCCAAATAGATTAGAAAGCAAATAATAACATTGAACTTACAAAAGATGTATAAGTTTATCATTACCTCTATTGGCTCAAGGAGTGCTTGTGATTCATCAAAGTATAGCTTTACTAGACCACCATATATAGGAAGGCCTGATATAAAGAGAACACCAATTATACATAGCATTTGACAATGTTTCATTACCATAGGACACAACTTTGACGAAATTTTGTCATTCTAGCCATTGAGCTTGCTGTGGAATCTACCACTTGGGTGTAGCCATACTTGTGTTTTACACCATTATATTTCTCATTGATCATAGAAAAGTCCATAGACAAGTCTGAACCAGATAGATTTCTCCCTTTAACCTCTCCAGTTACCATGTTTAGTCTCCATTATATGCATGAGTAAAAAGAAATCCATCTTGTATTAAATTGTGAGAATTCTTTTGAGTGTAATCTGTGAACTTAAATCCACTTGAGAACCACTCAAACTTGTTTTGACCCCAATCAGAGCCTGGTATGATGGCTTGGAGAGATCTACATCCCCTCACAACTAAGTGCTCTTATTTTAGGAAATAATAAACATCAATATCCATGTTCTTTGAGTATATATGTTAAAAGATCTCTAAGTGAATTTTCTGTCAGAAATCATAAGGAATTTTATGATCTAAAGGACAATTAGAAGGAGTTACTGACCTCATTACTGTCCTCAAAGCAGTTGATTAGGTGAAATGTGTAATACGGCTCTACCTCAAACCATTTTACTGAATCTGCAGTTCTGTAATGAGGCATCACTCATATTCCTGCATTTCCTTCTTTTTCACACTTCATAAACTTGTATTTCACAAACTCTATGGATTTAAGGATGTTTATCAACAAGGGATTGATTTGAAAAGCACCATCCAGCCACAAGATCTGTACTCACTGTCCACTAGTGAGAAGTGTATTAATTAAAGTCAGTTGTAAGAGCATAATCCATTATTATATTGTACCTGAGCCACAAGAAGGAATTAGTTTTTTTTTTTTTGAAAAAAGGTATATTACAACTTATAAGCTTAATGCTTATATTTTCTAGTAATTGGTTTTGTATCATTGCCTAGGGATTGGTTAAGGCCATACAATGATTTGTGTAATAGGCATACATGGTTAGCCAAACTCTGATTTACAAAACAAACAGGTTGGCACAAGAATATCTCTTCTTCTCTATTACCATGCAAGAAGGCTGTAGTTACATCTAACTGCTTTAGCTCTAAGTTGTGGTGGTTAACTATAGAGAGCATCATTCTGATAGTCTTATACTTTACTATATGGGAGAAGGATTCATTGAAGTCTATGCCCTCTCATTGGGTGTACACTTTGGCTACTAACCTAGCTTTATACCTAGGGGG